CCAGATTTGAACACCCTCAAAATTCAGGAGTGCTCAAGCTCAATTTGGGCAGCTGTTACTTCATTTCTCCCAAATCAAATATACTGATCCACTGTAACTTGCTGTAGAAAAAGTAGAATAAATTGAGCAAGAAATGCATCCCAGTGGTTATTAGGACTGGAATTGCTATTTTCAACACCCATTGCCTCATTATTATTATTATTATTATTATTATTATTAAGTTTTAGTTTTATTTGTTTAAAAGGAAGACAGTGATATTGCATTGGCAAATTCCCCATAGAAACAAAGAATGGAACAAAAGAATAATAAAGGCACCTCAACTTTTCCTCATTTATGTAGGACATTCTTATAATATGCATCCAGATAGCCTTCAATCACACAAGCTGAAAATTGTTCCACTTTACTGCAGTTCTGTAACCATATGGGAGCCAATCCTTTCTGTGTGTTTGTGCACATCCAAAATTCCTACTGAATGACCCGCCCTGGGAGCGAGTTACCAGTGACCCAGGGCTGGGGCGGCAGGAGGGTGCAGTGGAAGGGGGGCAGCAAAAAACCTAGAGCCGGCCCTGGTCAGAGGTGGATGATGCTCATGGGAACAGCCTCAAGGGAGTGGGGGCTCAAATGCTGGGATATTCCCATGTGAAAGGACTTGTGAGGAAGAAGCCCAGACAATAGAATGGTTGAAGGGATGGGCAGATACCATGGTGCAGTATAAGAACCTGAACAGAATGGATGCGCTGAGATGGAGGCAGCATGCTCACCTAGAACACCTATATTCAGTAGTCTGCACTGGCTACTAATTTATTTCTCGATACAATTCAAGGCAGTGTCCCTGATTCTCTTACTCTCTTTCTATGCCCAGTGCCATTTTGTGTTCTCTTCTTCTGGGGTCTCCTTTGGAGCTGTGAGCAGCAGAGACCAACATAAGTTTCAGTGATAGAAGCGCTGGTGAGGACAGCACTATGTCGGCAAGAGATACTACATTGGCGGGAGAACTACAGCTGCTCGTTAGGGGTGGTTTAATTACGCCGGCCAGAGAGCTTTCTCCTGCCTGCATGGAGCGGCTACATGGGAGACCTTACAGTGGTGCAGCTGCAGCAGTACAGCTGTGCTGTTGTAAGGCCTGTAGTGTAGACATAGCCCGAATGGTGAGTTGTGCTGTTCTGTTCTGTTTCAGGGAAATCCTATTCAAGAACATTGCTCCAGGGCATGGTGCCCCTTCTCCCAAGAGAAGATTGTGAGGCTCGTTACGGGGGCAAGTTTACTAACCATATGATCTGTGCTGGAAACCTCTCTGAAGATAAGCGGGTGGATAGCTGCCAGGGTGACAGCGGTGGGCCACTCATGTGTCAGAGGTCAACTGGACACTGGGTCATTCTGGGGATCATTTCCTGGGGTTATGGGTGTGGCCGGAAGGACTTCCCTGGAGTTTACACTAAGGTCAGCAAGTTTGTGCCCTGGATCAAGAAAGTGACCAAGCTATAATGCAAGTCCCTGAGCTCCGAGATCTTCATCATTTAATCCCTCTTGCCCCTACAGAATTAAAACTTTGGCCCACACTTGGGAACTGTAGCTTCCTTCTACCTCCACGGGGGCTGCTGCTTCAGTGTGTACCTGGCAGAGACTTGTTTTGTCCTTGAACACTGAGAAGAGACTTAACCACTGGGGGAAATAATTATGCCTGTCTCTTGGAAGTCTTTGCTCTCATCGTAGTCCCTAATCTCTGAAGCAGGGAAGTGGATATGAGCTGGCAAGACAGACTGCTCCTGTAGCTATCAGAATCCTGTAGAAAAATCATACATGTCCCTCTGCTCCCAGATGTGGGGATGGCTCTGTCAGTATCACCTACAACTTTTGCATGTTCACACATTTTGGACTTGTCTACACTTGGAATGCTATAGCAGCACTGTTGCACCACTTCTGTGTAGACACTACGTACGCTGATGGAAGGGGTTCTCCCATCGCCGTAGGAATCCACCTCCCCAAGAGGTGGTAGCGCTGTCTACACAGGGACATAGGTCGGCTTAACTACATCACTTGGATGTGCATTTTTCACAGCCCTGAGCAACGTAGTTGAGTCGATCTAAAGCTCTAGTGTAGACCAGTCCTTTGATGGCACTGCAGGAGAAGATGAGATTCATGAGAAATGCCACCAGGCTTTGCTGCAGGGATCTTTGTAGCGGATTGCTTGTAGCCAATTCCCAGACCCTACCTCTTGGACAGCAGGACTGGGTTGGGAGGAGCAGGACGAGGAGGCTGCACATGTTCTCCTCTTCCCCCCCACCCCACCCCCTCAAGAGGTTTTTTTCTCCCTTTCCATATCCCCATGAGGGACTTGCTCTCTTTTGAATATGAGCTCCACTCCTATATTGTCCCTGGGAACATCTCTATCCCTGCTAGGAGATTCCCAGCCTTCCACATGTGCTCCCCTGACCCCATATGCTCCAAATTCTCTCAGTGTTGTGAGACTCGTGATAAAATTGCAAGAGCTGGCAATATTTGTTGTTTTTTCTTAAAGCTCCAGCTCCTGGAGTCAGATGATCACATGAGAGTCTGTCCTCATTTAAAAAAACCCAAAAGTATCTAGCCATCATGGTTGCAAAGGGAAGCTTGAAAATGTGACCACCAAAGGCTGAAAACCCAGAAGGTAAACAACTTCCCACCCAATCTATTGTTAAAGCCACTCTCAAATGTTTGGGTCATGATTTGGCAATACCTCTATCTACCTGAGGTAAACCCCCATACCCTTAGCACCTCACAGTCTTTAGTGTATTTACCCCTGTGAGGTAGGGAGAACCTGTTATCCCCATGGGGGAAAGAAAACAGAGACTTAGTGATAGGAAATCCGTAGCAGACCAGGGACTTGAACTGATGTCTCCTGCAGCCTAGCCTAGCCTAGCCCAGTCCTTTATCCACTGGGCTTGTTTTTGCAGCATGACCCTCTTCATCCCCCTCAGAAATCAGAAGGCCAGTTGGTATAAATTGATGTAGCTGTATTGAAATAGCTACACACTATGGATCTGGCCTATGGTCTTATTATGAATAGAATTAATGTGATCATAAGAGAAAAGATGGGTTATGATACTCACCAAGACTCTTCCTTGTTTTCTGTTTCTTCCACCCTGGGGTGGGTGACCAATGTAAGAAAATCCTAGGACTTCATTTATTTATTGGAGACAACTTATGCTTTTTGAGTAGGTGGAAGCAAATGAAGACAGACAGGAGTTCTCAGTGTACCTGTAGTTCTAGCTGCACACAGCAGAGCCAGGAGCGAGAGGACAAATTAAAACTACAGATGGTAAGCAATAATACCTGACCAAGGGGTTGAAGATGGTGCCAAATATCCACGCCTTCAGCGTAATGCTTGAGGATGGGACCAGTGGTTCTTGTGCTAGCTGTGCATGCTTTGGGTTCAGTGTCACTTTGGAGGGTATGCATTTTCGGGGCTCACATGCATGCACCCACTGCCATTACGCATGGGAGGGTGTCTGCACACATTGCATGTAAATATACTACCAGTGTACAATAGCTGTGCAAGAATAGGTGACTGACACAGGGCTTACGCACATAGTGGGTGAATTAACAAGACAAGTGTCGCTAGTGTTACAGTGCACGAACACTATGTTACAATAGTAAACCTCAAGGCACATAGTGGTGGGGTTCCAGACACGTGTTTTAGGTTTGATAGGCAGCAACTGTATACCACATTTGCCTTAGCTCCACCGAGAGACCTTAGTTTAAAGGGAATCTACCAGATTAAAAATCTAGCAGATTTCCCCACTTACATTAAACTGAATAGTTCTCTCTCACTCTCTCCCCTGTTTGCATGGTGGTTGGGTTGTGAATACTATAGTGGCAGAATGTTTCAGACAAGTTTCTGCTGGGATTGTTAAACTGTGTTGGTTGAGGGATGGGACTTTGTACAGACTTTGTACTTGACTTTGAGTCAGATCTGATTTGTCAGTGCCCCGTTAAGGGCTGAGTGTCTGCAGTGCCATATATATGAAGTGCATCCACAGTACTGTAACCATGTGGCTGTACCACCAGGCCTGACCTGTGCAGAATGGGGTGTGTGACTCCTTGTGGGTTTGCTGTCCCGCAACTGCTGGCAGAAAATCCCTATCAGACAGATCAGCTTGCTTCCTCCCTCAATTTAAATGACATGTTGCAGGGAGGGGAGGCCCTAGGGAATGGGGGGGTGAATATTTCCTAGAATTCTGGTGTTTACAGTGGAGTGAATTCTGCCACTGATTTCCATAATAGCAGTGACAGTAACTGACTGGGGAGCACACTGTGGCTTGGCTTTTACTTGGGGCTGACCAAAGACACTGTTCTCAGCTCATGTGGAGTTTCTGCTTCTCTAGCTGCTGACACCTGTCCTTTACAGCCTTGCTGAGCTGACCAGCTGTGCCCAGAATCCCACCAGGCAGAGTTTTTCTTGTGAAGGGAACAAAACTCTCTGTATTTAGCTGAGCTGGCAGACAGGGTTGATGCAGGTGACCCACATAAAAAGTTACCATTTAACAGACACAGGCCAGTGTCTCCTCTTTGAGCCTACCGCGTTCACATTGCTGTTTCTTCTGGTCTTCACATTAACCATTGAAGTTGTGAGAGGCCTTCAGTAAGTCCCTGGGATGCTACGTAGGGCAGAATGAATGAAGGGGTATCACTTGTACATCATCTCATTCATTTTCCACGCTCCTTACCAGTACCCAGAAACAAGTCAGGTCTGTAAATACTGTTCTTAATTCTCCTGACCTGCCTGTTTCAGAACAGCTCTCTTGCTAGTTAATTTGGCGTATAATTCCACATTAAGTCAATGTACCTTGTCACAGGGGAGTAATGGAATGGCCTGGCTGGATCAGACCAGTGGTCTAGTCCAGTCTCCTGTGTCCAGGAGCAGCCAGTATCAGAGGCTTCAGAGGAAGGTGCAAGAAACTCTGTGCTGGGCAATTAGTCGAATAACCTCCCCTTAGGGAAGCTTGTGCCTGACCCAAGTACCCAGTTAGTGGGTAGTTTATGTCTGAAGGGGGTGGTTATGACTGTTTAAGGAGAGGTAGTTCACAAGGTTATAACTTTTTTTGACTCCTGGCTAAGGTGACTTTCCCCACTTCCCACGGAAATGTCTAATATTTCATTTAATTCAGCTAAGCTCTTGACCTCAATGCAATGTGCTGGCAATGCGTTCCACATATTAATTTTGATGCTACACAATACGTAATTTCCTTGTATTGGTTTAAAATGTATGCCTTTCAGTTTCATTGAATGGCCCCTGATCATGTGTTCTTACTTATTAGTGTAAATAGGAGTGCTTGTTTTCTCTATACCATCCATTATTTTATGGGTGGCCTCTTCTCTAAACAGTCCCCGTCTTTTCAGTCTGTCTTCATACAAAACTATCCATGTTTCTAGTAACTTTTGTTATCTGTCTCCTTCATGCCTTCTGTGTCTGCTAGATCTTTGAGCTCTAGTAACCAGAACTGAACAGTCCCCCAGGATAGGCTGTATCATCAGTTTATTTTCTAGTGTACTTTTTAGCTATGTTAAAACTTTGCCCACTGTTTTGATGGCTGCTGCGTTTGAGCAGAGCTTTTTGTTATAGTGGGGCTCAGGTCTCTGCCTCAGTGGCAGTGCTTTTTTCAGAACCCAGGAAATGGACTTGGACGATGTGCATTAGTCAACATTGAGTTTCATTGGCCACCGCATTGCCCACACGCCTAGCTTTGTTAGGTCCCTTTGAAGTCCCTCATAAACTTCTTCAGTCTTGACTAATCTACATAATTTTGCCTTTTGCAAATGTTACCATCTTGCTGTTCACCCCTTTGTCATATCCTAAATAAATACTGGTCACTGCCCCCAAAACAGCACATGGAGGGAGGCGGGAACCCTTTTATTTCCTTTTTGAAAATGGACCATTTATCCCTACTGCTTGCTATCCATCAGCTAGTTTCTAATCTATGACAACACTCTAGCTTCTCACCCCTTAACTGATGAGTTGTCTTGATAGCTTCTTATTAGTGACTTTGTTAAAGGCTTTTTGAAAGATTGAACCATGTCAACCCTATTCTTCTTCATCCTCCCTCTTGTGGACATGGTCAAAGAATTCTAGTAGATTAGAGAGGCAGGAATTTCCACAACAGAAGCTGTGCCCATTGTTTCCCTAGGATGTTCATCCAAGAGTTTATAGTTGTGTTTTTAAATGTTCATTTCAAACAGTTTAATTAGGTACAGAAGGGAGGCTCATGGATCTGTAATTCCCGGTAGCACTTCTAGCACCTTTTTAAAGTTGGAGCCATCAGCAGCTTCTCCTTACACAAGTGCTGAAGGGAATGGCTACAGGAGTGAAAAATATGTCTGTGGGAAGGTTGGGCTTCACCACCAGCATTAGTCATCTGGGTTGAATCCTAAACTTGGGGTAGCGATGCTGCATAGGTTATTTCTCTTTTTGTGATGGATACGAATTCTTGAAGATCCCTGGCTGACTAAACAGTTTGTTTTTCTTCTGTTTTATTCCAGTGGTTTAGGTGCCCCTTCTTACCTGCCCCATGCCTAGTAGAACAATACCTGTTTTGTCCTGGAAGGTTGGCAGCTGTCCTACATTTCCTGGGCTTGCAGTATGGGAAGAGGAGTTATACTTTGATGCTGCATGAAACAACCTCACATTGTAGCATGACAGAGCTGGTGCTGGGATGGGAGCGCATGCCCCACTAGGACAGAGTTTGGAGGCAGTAACTATGCCAGCTTGACTGTTTAAGGAGAGGTAGTTCATGCTGCACAGTTGCCACTCATCAGGGAAAGTGTTCCAATCCTCCATGAATCCAACACCTCCATCCACAGTCAGTGATTGGCCCTGGTGTTCACTCCCTTTCTGACCTGTAATGCCTGCACAGGTGCCCTTATCAGCCCTCTCTTGAAACCAGTCCAGGCTCTGACCAGCTGGTGCTGGATTAGATGTCTATCCCTTGGAGCTGTATGCTGTGCAGATAATCTCTATGAATTACATTCCCTGCTACAGTTAATCAGGCAGCTGTTTATTAACCTCTGCAGGAGGCCGATTACCCTTGTATTGGAGGGTAACAGCTGTTACATACATGGCTATAGGAATGGGTAAGGAAATTGGGGGCGTGGCTTATTTGAAGTGCTATCTAAGCCGCTGCAGCACAAGAAGCTGCTGTGACCCAGTAACAATGTGGAGCAGCGTGTTTACATTCACATGCAGCGGCCATTGGGGGAGATTCTCTCTGTGGATGGGCCTGAGAAGATCAATTGGTTACAGTGTGATTTCTTTTTCTGAGTCACCTTGACAGATTCACAAGAGTCTCCTGCAGCCAGAGAAGGTGGATACATGAGCGGGCACAGGCATTGAACAATCTCAGGACTAACAGAATGCTCCCAGGTTCTTGGGTGCTCCTTGTGAAATCGGTCCAATTGTGACATGCTCAACTGCACCCCCCCTGTGCTCTGTTTTTACTTGTTTACAAAACATTTAAATCCCCAAATGCAGGGAGAATGTCTCACTTGGGGAGGAGCCAACCTAGTCTTGTTATAACCCTCTTCTAACATCCAGGGGCTGAGCCCCTCCTCTCAGCGCTAGATGGAGTACCTCTGAAATTAGTTAAGTGCTAAAAGTGTTACATCCACCTGGATGAACAATGACAGCTCACAAAACATGTTAATAAACAGATTGCACTGTCACTGTGTGGGATTGTATGTTATTTTGTGGTTAGTTCTCCTATGTGGGTAGGGTTACCACCTGGCTGGTATTTGACTGGCTTGGCTGGTTTTTTTAAAGGATTTGCCAGTGGCCAGAAAAATAATTTAATCTGCCCCGGGGTGGGGGGGGGCACGCAGGAGTGGAAGGGGTTTACATGGGCTAAAGATTTCCCTTATTACCACAATACAGGGGGATAGCTACTGGTAAAAGCTTCATGTCCAGCTAAAGATGCTGCCATGTTCCCACTGCCACCGTTTAAGCAATAACAGATCAAAACTGTTGAACATACAGCAGCTGTCTGCCCATGGACACACAAGTGCACTGCGTGTGTGTGAGAGAGGGTTTGAGTCACTCGAGAGTGAGGAGATGTGCGATGTTATCAATCTTATCTATGTGTGTTCTCTGTCTAGACACTATCAGTGGCTGTTCAAGGTCGGGGGTTGCGGAGTTGGCTTGTGGTTGGGGTTGCCGAGGGCTTGCCTTGTGGGAGGGCATGCCGGGTTTTTTGCATTTCAAAGGTGGTAGCCCTACATAAGAACATAAGAATGGCCATACTGGGTCAGACCAAAGGTCCATCTAGCCCAGTATCCTGTCTTCCAACAGTGGCCACTGCCAGGTGCCCCAGAGGGAATACACAGAACAGGTAATCATCAAGTGATCCATCCCGTCGCCCATTCCCAGCTTCTGGCAAACAGAGGCTAGGGACACCATCCCTGTCGATCCTGGCTAATAGCCATTGATGGACCTATCCTCCATTAACTTATCTAGTTCTTTTTTGAACCCTGTTATAGTCTTGGCCTTCACAACATCCTCTGGCAATGAGTTTCACAGGTTGACTGCATTGTGTGGAAAAAAATACTTCCTTTTGTTTGTTTTAAACCTGCTGCCTATTAATTTCATTTGGTGACCCCCTAGTTCTTGTGTTATGAGAAGGAGTAAATAACACTTTTTTATCTACTTTCTCCATACCAGTCATGATTTTTATAGACCTCTATCATATCCCCCCTTAGTCATCTCTTTTCCAAGCTGAAAAGTCTCAGTCTTATTAATCTTGCCTCATACGGAAGCCGTTCCATACCCCTAATCATTTTAGTTGCCCTTTTCTGAACCTTTTCCAATTCTAATATATCTTTTTTGAGATGGGGTGACCACCTCTGCATGCAGTATTCAAGATGTGGGCATACCATGGCTTTATATAGAGGCAATAGGATATTTACTGTCTTACTATCTATCCCTTTCTTAATGATTCCCAACTTTCTGTTCACTTTTTTTGACTGCTACACATTGAGTGGATGTTTTCAGAGAACTATCCACAACTCCAAGATCTGTTTCTTGAGTGATAACAGCTAATTTAGACCCCATTATTTTATATGTACAGTTGGGATTATGTTTTCCAATGTGCATTACTTTGCATTTATCAACATTGAATTTCATCTGCCATTTTGTTGCCCAATCACCCAGTTTTGAGAGATCCTTTTGTAGCTCTTCACAGTCTGCTTGGGACTTAACTATCTTGAGTAATTTTGTATCATCTGCAAATTTTGCCACCTCACTGTTTGTCCCTTTTTCCAGATCATTTATGAATATGTTGAATAGGACTGGTCCCAGTACAGACCCCAGGGGGACACCACTATTTACCTCTCTCCATTCTGAAAACTGACCATTTATTCCTACCCTTTGTTTCATATCTTTTAACCAGTTACCGATCCATGAGATTCCATCTTATCCCCGACAGCTTACTTTGCTTAAAAGCCTTTGGTGAGGGACCTGGTCAGAGGCTTTCTGAAAATCTAACTACACTATATCCACTGGATCCCCCTTGTCCACGTGCTTGTTAAACCCCTCAAAGAATTCTAGCAGATTGGTGAGGCCTAATTTCCCTTTACAAAAACCATGTTGACTCTTCCCCAACCAATTATGTTCATCTATGTGTCTGACAATTTTGTTCTTTACTATAATTTTAACCAGAAGTCAGGCCTACTGGCCTGTTAATTGCTGGAATCACCTCTGGAGCCCTTTTTAAAAATTGGCATCACATTAACTATCTTCTAGTCATTTGGTACAGAAGCTGATTTAAATGATAGGTTACAAACTACAGTTAGTAGTTCTGCAATTTCATATTTGAGTTCCTTCAGAACTCTTGGGTGAATACCATCTGGTCCTGGTGACTTATTGCTGTTTAGTTGATCAATTTGTTCCAAAACCTCCTCTAATGACACCTCAATCTGGGACAGTTCCTCAGATTTGTCACCTAAAAAGAATGGTTCAGGTTTGGGAATCTCCCTCACATCCTCAGCCGTGCAGACCAATGCAAAGAATTAATTTAGTTTCTCCGCAATGGCCTTATCATCCTTGAGTGCTCCTTTAGCATCTTGATTGTCCAGTGGCCCCACTGGTTGTTTAGCAGGCTTCCTTCTTCTGATGTACTTAAAGATGTTTGCTATTACTTTTTGAGTCTTTGGCTAGCTGTTCTTCAAATTCTTTTTTGGCCTTTTTTGGATACATGTGAGTATCAGTGTAAGCAGAGTCAGGATAAGCTCTACCCTGACATCTGGTGGTGAATTATGGCGAGGGTGGAAAAGAACTTCAGGGGCTGATCTTGTTTGCATAGGCATACCCACCCACCTAGCCTGACACAACAACAACTGAAAGTGGTTACTCTGGCTGGTGTGGAATCCCCAGTTTCTCTGTTATTGGGGGGGGGGGGAGAATAAAGTGTTGTTACCCTGATTCTGTGAATCAAGGCCAGTGGAACTGTTGTATGACAGAGGGACTCACCAGTAACTAAGTAGCACTCGCTAGACAAGGGGCATGGGTTACAAAACCCAGTAGATTGAGAGAGGTTGGGGACAGGTATGTGTACCTGATGGTATGGGCCCCTTTTGAGGGCCTGGAACACCAATTGCACTACCCCCTCTCTCCAGTGTTGAATAGCAGAGCTAAGTTTGCTTCCATTAGGAGTCTAGCTAGAAGTTGCTGAACTGAATTCACTTTGGGCCAATGGTGCACCAGCACTGGGGCTCCCCTACTACAAGCTGAAGTCACTAAGAGCTGAAATCACTAAAAGAGCTAAAATTGCTGAGCTGAGATCACTGAGTGCTGTGTTAACCAGTGGGGGAGCCTGAAGATATCTTGCTAAGCAGCTGGCAGAGCCGAGGAGTTTGTGGGACGGTTGGAGCGGCCCATGGAACAGCGAGCGGAGCGGTGCAGAGCAGAGCTGAGCCATTTGCAGGGGCAGCTGGAGCGGTTCATGGGATGGCTGGTGGAGTGGAGAGGCTGGCAGCGCTGAGCAGTTTGTGGGATGGTTGGAGCGGCCCACGGAACGGGGAGCAGAGCGGAGCAGTTTGCGGGAGAAGCTGGAGGAGTGGCGCGGCGTGGCTGGTAGAGCGGAGCCATTTGTGGTAAAGGCTGCAGCAGAACTCCACGGAGAGGTGGGGCAGTCGGCCTCGGACCACATAAGGTGCCCCTTAACATCCCGTGTGCCCCCCCCATTTCCGCCCAGGCTGGGGGGGTAAAACTCTGCAGATAAACTTTTGAACTCTGGTGCAGCACTGACCAGGGACAGAAACTTTGGGGTTGTTGGACTTTGGCGTTATTGGACTTAAGACCCTGAGGGGAAAAGGACACTGCCAAACTTACTTGGAGGTGGGTCTTTTGCTCATGGTTTGTGTTATGAATCCTGTTTGTGGTGTTTCCCCAACATAATGCCGCATTGTTTCCCTCCTTTATTAAAAAGCTTTTGCTACACTCAGACTCTGTGCTTGCAAGAGGGGAAGTATTGCCCCCTAGAGGTGCCCGGGGGGTGATATGTAATTGTCCCAGGTCACTGGGTGGGGGCTCGAGCCGGTTTTGCATTTCGTTATTGAAACGGAACCCCTAGATACTGAACCCGGCCCTTGTTGCTGCCAACTCAGAGGGGCAGAAGGGTTACATCAGTATTTTGATCAGTGCCAGACTAAGCCAGTTGAATTTTTCTGTTAATCTTACATTGAGAGAGCAGCTTGGACCCTAAAGCATTTTACAAACATAAGGGATCAGTGTCGCTTCATTCACCACCAAAATGCAACACAACAGCTCTTTCAGCGGCATACTCTGCAGCCCTTGAGAATGAGCAAAGGCTATTCTCACACTTCAAAATCAAACCTCTTACATCTAAAACTCAGAAAGTTTTGGTTTAAATCACCTTCATAATCTGTCAGTGTCAGAACTAAGTTTTTTCTAATACTATACTTTAAACCAAGTCATGTACTACAGATGGAGAACCACTGCCTTGCTCTATGGGAAGTGGAAGGAGGAGAGAAGTGACCCCAGTTTGAATTTGGCCAGGACACTTGTGCTCACACTCCTATTTTTACAAAACTCGTCCTGAGGTCTCTTCCAAGGGGTCTGTATTTATGTTTGAAATACAGTAGCTGTATCAGCACCAGACCTGTAAGAATCCTGCTGGGGTACGTATGCAGTAGTGACTCAGCAGGAAAGACAGTCCCCTTCCCAAATCAATACAACTTGATTGCATGGGCTAAGCAAAGTCCCACTCACAGTACAAAGTGTTATGGCTTCAGGCTGTTTACACATGTCTGTTATCTCCAGGCTGCTATTGGGAGTTTTGCACTGAAGGGAGAATAAACCTGTTTGTGGTTAACACTTCAGCAACTTCATATCTGACTTTAGGGTTCCCGCATGGACCTGTATTTTTTGAGGGGAGGGCAGGGGAGGAGGAGAAAGGGGAGGTAATTTGATTTAACGGAAACACTCAATTCCATTACATCCCCAACTTGCCAAATTCATCCCAAGAGCATTTTGAAAGCATATATCAAAACCAAATGGGGGCTTAGTGCCAAAGCAGATGGCTCGTGGAATGTTTGATGTGGATGTTGAAACCAAAGCCTGAGTCAGCAGAACAGGAATCATAGAATATCAGAGTTGGAAAGGACCTCAAGAGGTCATCCAGTCCAACCCCCTGCTCAAAGCAGGACCAATT